CCTCTCCCTTCCTCCCCCCTTCCCCCTCCCTTCCCTTCCCCTTCCTTCTTTTTTCCTCTTTTTTCTCCCTGTTTTTTCTCCCCTCCTTTTTCTCCCCTTTTTTTTTTCCTCCCTTTTTTTTCTTCCCCTTTTTTTTCTCCCTTTTTTCTTCCCCTTTTTTCTCCTCCCTTTTCCTTCCCTTTTTTCCCTCCCTTTTTTTTTCCCTTCCTCTCCCTTTCTCCTTTCCCTTCTCCCCTTTCCTTCCTTCCTCCCTCTCCTTTTCTCTCCCCTCTTTTCCCTCTCCCCTTCCCCCCCTTCCCTTTTCTCTCCTCTTCCCCTTTCCTCTCCTTTTTTCCCTTCCCTTTTCTTTTCTTTCTCTCCTTCCCTTTTCCCCCTTTTCTCTTCCTTCCCTTCCTTCTCCTCTTTCTTCCTTCCCTCTTCTCTCCTCTCCCTTCCTCTCCTCTTTTCTTCCTTCCCTCTTCCTTTCCTTTTCCTCTTCTCTTCCTCTTCTTTTCCCCCTCCTCCCTCCTCTTTTCTTTTCCTTTCCCTTCTCCTTTCTTTCCCCTTTCTCTTCTTCTCCTCCCCTTCTTTTTTCTCCCCTTTTCTTTTCCCCTCTTTTCTTCCTCTCTCTCTCCTCCTCCCTTTTTTCCTTCCCCTTTTCCTCCCCCTTCTTTCTTTTCTTTTTTCTCTTCCCTTCTTTTTCTTTCTTCTCTTCCCCTCTCTTTCTTCCCCTTTCTTTCTCTTCTCTTTTTCTTTCTTTTTTTTTTTCCCCCCCTCTTTTTTCCTCTCTTCCCCATTTTTCTCCTTTTTTCTCCTTTTTCTCCTTTCTTCCTTTTCTCCCTCTTTTCTCTCCCCTTCCCCCCTTCCCTTTTTTCTCTTCCTCCCTTCCCTTTTTCCCTTCCCTCCTCTTTTCTCCCCTCTCCTTCCCTTTTCCCCTTCCCTCTTCCTCCCTTTCCCTTTCCTTCCCCTTTCCCCTTCCCCTTCTTTTCCTTTTCCCTTTCCCTCCTCTTTCCTTTCCCTCCTCTTCCCTTTTTCCCTTTCCCCTCTTCCCTTCCCCTTCCCCCCTTTTCTCTTTCCTTCCCCTTCCTCTCCCCTTTTTTTTTCCTCCCCTTTTTTTTTCCTCCCCTTTTTTTTCTCTCTCCTCTTTTTTTCTCCCTCCTCTTTTTTTTCTCCTCCCCTCTTTTTTCCTCCCCCCTTTCTCTTTTTCTCCCTCTTCTTTTTTTCCCCCCTTTTTTTTCTTCTCCTCCCTCTTCTCTTTCCCCCCTTTCTCTTTTTTTTTCTTTCCCCCTTTTTCTTTCCTCCCCTTTCTCTTTTTTTCTCTTTCCCTTTTTCTCCTTCCTCTTTTTCTTCTCCTCCCCCCCCCTTTTTTCCCCTCCCCTCTCCTTTCTTTTTTTTCTCCCTCCCTTCTCCCCTTCTCCTTTTTTCTTCCCCCCTTTTTCTTCTCCCTTTCTTTTCCCTCTCTCCTCTTTCTCTTCTTTCCCCCCTCCTTTTTTTCCCTCCCTTCTTTCCTCTTCCCCCTTCTCTCCCCTCTTTTCCCTTTTCCTTTTCCTTTCCCTCCTCCTTCCTTCTCCCTCCTTCTCCTTTCCTCTCCTTCTTTTTCTTCCCCTCTCCTTCTCCTTCCTCCCTTTTCCTTCTTTCTCTCCCCCTCTCCTCCTCTTCCCTTTCCTCTCCTTCTTTCCCCCTCCTCTCCCTCCCCCTTTTCCTTTCCTCTTTCTTTTTTCCTCCTCTCTCTCCTTTTCCCCCCTCTTTTCCCTTCCTCTCTTCTCTTTTTCTCCTCTTCTCTCCTTTCTTTCTTCCCCCCCTTTTCCCTCCTTTTCTCTCTTCCCCTCTGCTTTTCTCCTTCCCTTCTCCTTTCCTTTCCTCCCTTCCCCTTTTTTTTCTCTCTCTTTTTCTTCTCCCTTTTCTTTCCCCCCTTTCTTCTCTCCTCTTTTTTTTCCCTTTTTCCCCTTTTTTTTTCTTCCCCTTCCCTTTTTTCCCCCTTTTTTTTTTCTTCCCTTCCTTTCCCCCCCTTTTCTTCTCCTTCTCTCTCTTCCTCCCTTCCCTTTCTTTCTCCTCCTTCCCCCCCTTTCCTCTCTCCCTCCCCTTTCTCTCTCCCTTCTCTCTTCCCCTTCCCCCCTTCCCTTCCTTCCCCCTTCTTCCCTCTCCTCTCCTCTCCTCTTCTTTCTTCCCCTCTTCCTTCTCCTCCTTCTTCTTCCTCTCTTTTCCTTCCCTCCCTCTTCCCTTCTTCCCCTCCCTTTTCTTCCTTCTCTGTCCTTTCTTCCTTCCTCTCCCCTTTCCTTCCTTTCTCAATTTCCCTCCAACAATTCCCCAACCTTTCCCCTCAATTTTACCAATATTTTTCCCCACTTTTTCCAAAACTTTTCACACTCTCTTCCAATATCTTCCAAACCTTTACACCACTATTTCTCCACTATTTCCCCAACTTTTCCCCAACTTTTCCCCAACTTTTTTCCAACTTTTTTCCAACTTTTTTCCAACTTTTTTCCAACTTTTTTCCAACTTTTTTCCAACTTTTTTCCAACTTTTTTCCAACATTTTCCCAACATTTTCCCATCATTTTCCCAACATTTTCCTAACATTTTCCTAACATTTTCCTAACATTTTCCCAACATCTCCCCAACATTTCCCCACATCTCCCTAACATCTCCCCAACATTTCCCCAACATCTCCCTAACATTTTTCCAACATTTTCCCAACATTTTCCCAACATTTTTCCAACATTTTCCCAACATTTTCCCAACATTTTCCCACCATAACCAAAACATGCTTTTGTTATATAAATAATTGACATCATAACCAAAGCGTGGTCACCCATCTCAAACTCAAAAACTTGTCAAAATTGACCAAAATTGTTAGGGGTAAGCCTTACCATTTTACTCAAAATTGACGACGACCTTTTCAATGTTCCAAAAAGCAACAAAATATGCTGTAAAATGAAAGCTATTAGTCTTACGAAGCCGTTTTTTTTTAGCAGTTTAAGACAGTTTTTGAACAATTGAAAAATTCGTCAAAATAGACTTACTCCTTTTTTGTTCGGTTTCAACGGAGAATTTGGTGTTCTCGTGTTTATTTTGGTAGTGGTTCGAATGCTGGACAAATTTTTTTCAAAAGCCTCTTGAAAAAAAAGATTTAAGTAAGATAAAAACACCACTTAGTATTGTAAGAGGCGAATAGTCGCAGGGTAACGACAATGGTGTAGCAACTTGTAAGTTGGTGGTGGTTCGAATTTTGCATCGGGAAAAAAATGTTTTCGTCACGACCTGAAAGAAAAGATTATTTTTTATTGGGTTTCGAGGGAGAATTTCGTGTTACTGTTGGAAAGTTTTGGTAATTAGCTGCTTGAAAAAAAGGGCTTAATTATGTCCAAGGCTTGATGAAAAATTAATTCAAAGTTCACAAGTATACATACGATGTAAGCACCTGGATGTTTTGTAGGTCCGCGTAATTTACTACATCTGCGACTTGTACGTACTCGTTATGGACGTTCGGGTACGTTCGCTATATATACACTATCCGCCAAAACGAAATTTTCCATTTTTCACTTTGCTTTTTTTTGAACAAATCTAAATGCTATTGCAAATGCCAAATGATCAAACCCAAATAGAATAGCAAAAAAAGCCACGCAGTCCCAGTGAACTAATATGGTCATGGTTAAGATTTCAGTGCCCATGTGGAACATTCCCACAATCAACATACTGAGCTATGTCACATATATACTAGACATTTTTAATTAGATGTTGTGGCGTTGTGTGCTCTTCTCTTCTGAGGGTTTTCGGTTGTCATCTTTCCTTTCTTGACCCTTCTTTTTTGTGGTCACTTCTGGCAGACAGTCATGAAATTTTGGGCTCTGCGATTTCAAAAAATATCAGCCAAAATTCTGATTTGGCTGAACATTTGATACAACTAGTAGAAAATGATGTAGAAAATATTACCGATGTTTCTACAATCGAAAATTACGATCCAGTTACGACGAATGTAGAAGGTCTAGATCAAATGAACGTTGAGAGTCATGAACAAACTTCGGCGGTCAACATGCGACAGCGAGGCATATAGTCGATTTAGAGCAAGGTGTTGTTAAGAAAAGAAGGAGAAAATGTGGTAGCTGCAAACCGTGCCTGAGGAAAATAAATTGTGGGCAGTGTAATTGTTGTTTGAATAGAAAGACAAGTCATCAGATATGTAAGCTTCGAAAATGCTCTAAGCTCAAAATTAAATCAAGCTGTATGGAGAACGAGTCGGGTACCGTCGCCTTTCAACACCCCGCACAGCAAGCAATTCTAATAGATAGTTCAAATATCGAGAAATTAGGACATGCGAAAATAAATCCTGAGAAAGCAAAGGGGAAACTGCAGTCACGCCTCTGCAACGGTAAAGCTGCAGAACTTAGCATGGACACAGAGAATGCGCTTTACAAATTCCCTCTGGGACTGATGGAATCGGAACAAAGCCATACAACGGAAATTAGCACAGAGCACAATAATGTTCGCATTCCAAATCGTTCCCCTGTGACACCACTGGAACCAAAATATAATGAACAGGAAATGCAAATAATAAGCCAAATCTACCTGAATTGGATGTTATGGCGTCTGAAATCAAAGAAAAAATGTGGGCTTCTATTAGTCAACAAAGTTTATGCGATCAGATTAGTAAAATCTATGACGAAATCGTCCATTTTAGAAGGAACATTTTTAATATACCCTCCGGCAGAGCGGGAAAAGATTTCATTGCAGAGTTGACTTATTGGCTAAAGCAATTCAATTCCAATTCTGATCTCAATTCGATTGCATTGAAAGCCTTTATGGTGCTTCCATCTTTGATTCTCCAAAAGCCCTCGGCAACGTCAAAGAGCAAAGAACACAGCACAGCGATAAAACGAAGATTAACCCTATGGAAGCAAGGGGACTTGAATCTACTAATGAAAGAAGTGAGATTTACACAAGATCGGTTCTTATCATCAAGAAAACCCTCTGCAGTAAATGATATCTCCAGAGTTTTCGCCAGATTGGTAATGCAAGGAAAACTATCCGCGGCGATTAAATTTCTGGATAAAGAAAGCTCCCCGGGTTTACTAGATCGTTCGCTGGAGACTTTGGAAGCTTTGGAAAAAAGAAACACCCGGCAGCCAGTGATGTAGAGGACGAATGCCTCCTAAATGGTCCCGTAGATCGAATCGCGTCCAATATTTTCGACCTCATCAATGAGCAGATGATTTATGACGCAGCTTTTAAAACTAAGGGCTCAGCTGGACCTTCTGGTATGGACCCAGACATATACCGACGAATTTTATGCTCAAAGAATTTCAGTAACGAAGGTAAGATCTTAAGAGAAGAAATATCAACGATGACCAAAAATCTGTTGAAATTATGCTACCATCCATCCCTGTTAAAAAGCTACACATCCTGTAGGCTAATTCCACTAGATAAACATCCTGGAATTCGACCAATTGGAGTGGGGGAAGTGCTGCGAAGAATAATCGGTAAGACAGTAACTTCATTCTTGAGAGCGGAGATAAGGGAAGCAGCGGGGCCATTGCAAGTTTGTGCAGGATACAGTGCTGGGGCCGAGGCAGCAATACATGCCATGAGCCATGTTTTTGAGGAAGAAGGGACTGATGGAATCCTATTAATTCATGCGACCAATGCTTTTAACCAAATGAATACAGCGGTAGCAATGCACAATCTTCAAATAACCTGCAACAGAATGTCCATATACATCATTAACACCTACAGATGCCCCTCCAGGCTATTCATATGTGGGGGAGGTGAGATTTTGTCGCAAGAAGGTACCACCCAAGCGGATCCTCTAGCTATGTCCTGGTACTCAATTAACACAGCTATAATGATTCAAAGTTTGAGATTGAACATACCAGAAATCAAACAAGTATGGCTGGCCGATGACTCAGCGGGAGGAGGAAGATTGACACATTTATATAATTGGTATAAGCATTTGGAAGAGGAAGGAAAGAAATACGGCTATCTAGTAAATGGTCCAGAGTGTTGGCTGATAGTGAAGACGCAAGAACTGGCCAAAGAAGCAGAGCAGATCTTTGGAGAAGAAGTTAAAATTACAACAGAAGGAAAACGCCATTTGGGTGCTGTTATAGGATCAAAAGAATATAAAGATGAGTATTGTAAAGAAAAAATTCAAGGATGGGTACAAGATATCTCATCACTCACGGAAATCGCGAAAAGCCAGCCTCATGCAGCCTACATTGCCCTTACGAAAGCATACAAATCAAAATTTACCTACTTCATGCGAACAATTGAGGCCTTCGAAGAGTACGTAGAACCGATACATGAAACATTGAATGACATTCTCGTACCACAATTTTTTGGTCAAGAAGAACCCCTTGCGAGTGAGCTTCGTGAACTTGTGACCCTAACGCCAGCTCAAGGGGATTAAGCGTACCGAATTTGAGAATAGAAGCTCCCTTGCAATATGCAGCCTCAAAATTATTTACTAATCAACATGTAAATTCAATTAAACGGCAGAGTGAGGCTCTGGAACCGATGGAGCAGTCTATAGATGATCTGAAGCGAATGCAGCAAGCAAACAAAGCGGAAATTATTAAGTCAAGAATGGATAACATTGATGCAACACTTTCTCCAGACCTACTGTTCTTGGTAAAGCAATCCCGAGACAAAGGAGCGAGTTCCTGGCTAAATGCGATTCCACTCAAAGATCAAGGTCTAGCCCTCAATAAGCAAGAATTCAGAGACTCGTTACGAATGAGATACAATTTAACTTTGAACGATTTACCAAGTCATTGTGCGTGTGGAGATCGCTTTAACATCAATCATGCCCTCTCTTGTAAAAAAGGTGGGTTCGTTGCACAAAGGCACGATGGAATCCGTAATTTGCTAACAGCGCAACTGGATAAAGTGTGTAAGAATGTGGAAATTGAGCCTCATCTTCAACCCCTTGATAATGAGAGATTTGACTTGAGATCGGCTAATATAAGACCCGAAGCGAGATTGGACATGAAGGCGAACGGTTTCTGGCTACGTGGAGCTACTGCATTTTTTGACGTAAGAGTAACGCATGTAAACTCCCGATGTAACCAAGGCCGGCCAACCCAGAACACTTTTAAGGAACACGAGAACGAAAAGAAGAGAAAATACCAACAGAGAGTTTTAGATGTTGAAATGGGCTCCTTTACCCCACTTGTTCTTGGAACCAATGGTGTAATGGGGTCTGAATGCCACAAGTTTCTTACTCAGCTGGCGCAGAAATTAGCAGCAAGAGACCATGAACGTTATGCAGTTTTCATAGCTTGGTTGAGAACCAGAATCTCTTTCGAAATTCTAAGATCGGTACATGCGAGTGTAAGGGGATCTAGATCACCTTTCTATAGAAAAGAACTTGAAGTGGTAGACGATTTTGGACTAAATGTTAAGATTGCAGAGGTTTTTTAAAGTTTCTTAGACTTTAACTTTACGTGCGAAGTACTCCTTTTCTATAAAAATTAGGAAGAACAACAATCATTATGACATTCGAAGAGTTTAAACAGCCCATTGGAAAATGCATGGTGATTAGAATAGTTAATTTTGATCTAGTTTTATTTAGAATTCTTTTAAATAAGTATATAGTTAATTTGAATAAATAGAATTATGTGACTGTCTTCTCTCGGTGCTGCCTATGGCGGTATCGTTGGAGATCCTTCGGGATCTTTCTAAAAACTCTCCTCTCTGCTACCTCAAATGGGGGCGCAGTGGGGGTTTGTTTTTCTCCCCCAAAGTGCCCCCGGGTTGTGGTAGCAACCTCTTTTGTCTTCCTTTTTAATTTATGATCAGTCTAATCAATATATGCAAATGAATCTTATTATAAACATGAGAGCCCAACATATAACATTTAAGAAAGCCATCAAAACAATTGAAGTTTAAAAGTAATGATGACTTTCTTTAAGGTTATATGTTGGGCTCTCATATTTATAATAAGAATCCGTTTTCCGCCTGGCAAATCTCTAGCTACGATATATGCAAATGAAGTTTACGTAATCGTATCTATGATGTAATAATTTATGCTGAACCTAACACATGCGCAGTTCACGACGAGCTTCTCTCTCGATCTATTCAATATGGTGGTCAATCAAGAAATGTTTTTGCTTGCAAAAAGATCGTAAATTGTTGGCGCTACAAGCTCGGAAAGGTATTGAAAATATTCCCGTTTCCTTGCTTTATTCTTTAAGTGTAATCTTAAGCGATATAAAGCTTATTCGAATTCGAATAAGTGGAATTTAACATGTGGAACGATTACAGCTGATTGCTTTTACTCATAATTGATGGTTTACTGTGATGACTACCAGCTAGTAATGGACAAATATTGCGTGGAAATATGTGAACTATTAACCCACCTTCTGCATGTTCGCCTTTTATCATCTGATTACTTATAACTTTTACAAATGAGTAAAACTTTTCAACTTTTGATATCTTATAGATTGTAAATGAGATCAGGCTTTTATCAGCTCACAGAATAACAAGGTATATTTATTAATTTTAGAAATTGTATATCAAAAATTGTCTGCCTAGAACTGAACAAGTGTTGCTAAAGATGTATGGATTAACTGCAGTTGGTATATATTGCATTTTTAGAAGGAAGCATCCAAACAAATTCATTTGTAACATGGTGGATAACAAAGTCCCTCCTTGAAAACCTACTTCAGTCATTTACGGTGAGTTTCTTACATAAATATAATCAAATATGATTTTCGTTTGGGCTTTCCTTTTCCTTTGTATATTCCAAATGAGCTTGATAGGTTATTGAATATTGAGTAACTTGTGTCATAGTATTACAGCATTTTACGGACTCGATTTGATTGCACTCATAAATGATGCAATGAACGGTCTCTATCCTATAAACGTCTGAAACTACTCTCTTCAACATATGTTTGCATTAGGCATCTATGTCTAATAAATGCCTCTTCGAATCAAAACACCAGGGGCCGGTTGTTCGAAAGGCGTTTAGCTTAAACGGTGGATAACCCAAGTTTAAAAGTACTCTAACAGATCTTGTGAATGAATGTACCTGCATCTTACGCATTAAATATGTACTTCCATTGACAATTAAACTATTTACATCAAAATATTTCAGCTCAGTTGTTCAATAAATACATGATTTTGTTTTCCATTTTGAACTTAATCGTCCCAGTAATGTTTAATGTCCCTAGTGTGGTTGTGTGTTTCAGAGTGTCTGGTTATAATGTTCAATTTTAATTTGTAATTTAATTGTTTTGTTTTGGAAACATTCACAAACAGTTTGCACAAACTTTGACAATGAGGAAATTTTTGCAATAGGCACATGCCCTAAATTGCGACTTTGAAACACATGGGAGACTTTTTAAGTTTACATGCACAAACTGCATTAACTAACACTTGATGCTGTATGTATTAGAATGGCATCACAAATTATTGATATTTAGTCTTAGTGGTATTTTCACTTCTTCAAAATATGGTGGTGCTAATGATATAAATGCCTCTCTCTATTAAATGCTCTCTCTAGAATTGGCAGATTTCATTAAGGTGGTGTTGGTCATTGAAAATGTAGATTTACCCTGTTTTAAAAATTTAAGGAGTCGATTAGCTTGTTTCATTGTTCTGTATAATTAATGAAAAACTTTTTTAGTTTTTCTTAGCAAGCTAAAATTGTCATTCCCCTTACTTTCGTGCACGATAATTCGAAAAATAATAAAGGTAACTTGATAAAATTCTCATGGTTTATTCTAAAGACAATTGGCTGGGACGTGAACCATTCAGTCTACGTAAAATAGGGACTGTTTATTTTAGATAGATCATAGAAGTTTTAAATATATAGCCTGTAAAATGTTTTGGAAAAGTTTTATTTATTTGAGGTTCAGCTTGGAGGCAAAAATATTTAGAACTAAATAAAACTAATGCTGTCATTTTAGCGTTAAAACCTAGTTTGTTATCTTGTTTGCAAAAATCGTCTATTTCCACCATTGGGTGTGTTTGTTCTGGGTAACTATAGCAATTGAAATTTTCTACAAGTCTTTTTTACTCAGAGCAACTTGACTTGCAATATGTCATGAAAAGATTTTTATATTTTTCAAAATGAAAATGAAAAAAAATTAATGACCTAGACTTAAAAGCCCCAGATGTTTATTGGATCATGTACAATATGTTAGTGCTTCAGTTGATCTCTGTACTCTTTTGTCTCTGTATATCTGATATCTGTACTGTATCTTTATTGGTATTATATGATGAAAATGGGAGCTCTGGATGGTTATGCAAATTGTGGGAAATTCCAAATTGATTTTGTGGGCCATCCTTCCAGGTTTTCCAAAAAGCCTGAGTAATTGATTGCACTGGGAGTCTTAGCAATAAAAAAGTGCTGACTGAGGAATTTTGTGCAAAGAGCAAGGATTTATGAATTTACAAACATGAATTTTGAAACTTGTTCTCATAGGTTTAGAGTTTTGTTTTCTTCTGGGGGGCTTAAACTTTAGATACATGATATCTAGCTAGCAACACTTTCTGACATTAGATAAAATTAAATAGAATAAATTTCCTCTTGATATATAGTTGCATCGGTAGTCATGGTTCATATGGCCGATAGGTGGAGAAAATATTTACCAATGATTTTGACCTGTTGTGGGTAGAAAAGCTAATGAAAGATAAAATGAACAAGCTGCCATGTATTTTATGATTTTACAAGCTGCCATGTATTTTATGATTTACAGCTTGAAAATTCTGTATTTCGCAATTGCTTTTCCGAGTTGCTCGATATATTATAATATCAACTATAAATACCGTTTCATGTGTATATAAAGATCTTTTTTGAAAGATTCAACATTGCTCTGATGCAATTATTACTTTTTGGCAAATTTTTAGGGGGGCTGAGGCCCCCCAGTAAGATTTCTTGGGGGGGCCGAGCCCCTCAGCCCCCCATACTCTATGCCTATGCTTGTTCTCATGATTATTTACATGGAGAAAGAATCAAATAAATCATTATCACAATTAATTTTAAATACAATAACTAATTACCTGAAAAATATTGAATGTATTGAAAATATTGATCGTTTTAGAATTTAGACATGCAGTATCAATAATATAAAATTGTACGGTAAATTGTGCACAAATCAGGGGGGGCATTCGGCACGCCCAGTACGCGAAAAACCGGGTAACGAGGATAGATTTCGGAGAAGAAAGGCGAAGGAAGGAAAGCCCGGAAATTTTTTAATTTTCTATGTTTTAAAGAGAAACTATAAAGTTATTTTAATGAAGTGAAGCTTGTTGAGAAAAAGATATTCCGATTATAAGTATATCTAGATATATATCTTATAAGCGTATTTTTTGTTTGCTGCCTTTTTTAATATGACTTCGTCCTCGCGCATCGAATGTTGGAATTTTCTGAATATTTTTTCGGTCGATTTCTTTTGCATTAGTTCAACGTTTTAGAGTAAGAATGTTTGTTATGCCAAAGCATTTATTTCACGTAAATGACGTTCATTTTTTCTGCTTTGTTAGATTAAAAGTCCAGCGAGAAATGAAGTGAAAGGCGATTTGAAAACCACGAGGTAAGGCAGTAAGCCGCCATTTTATTAAATTTTCGTACTTTTTTTAATAGTGTGTTGTTTTTGTTTTATTTTAACATTCCATGCCCCAACCGAACACTTCAGTAAGGGTGCAGTAGTTTTAAGAAAGATTTGTGGTTTAATTTTATTAAAAAATCCGCCTTCAGTCGAGAGGCGAGAGGAATGGCGAATTATTTCAGACCATGTATTCGGTGTTTGACATAATTGTGGGACCTGTGTTGCCAAATTAGTTTGTATTTTGAAACATTCGATTAAGTGCTAAGAAAAGAAATGGAAAACTAACTCTTTAAAGCCCGTTTTTTTTTTGCCAAGGCAGGTTGATGCATGTAGTTTGATATATAAGAGGGGTCAGCACCATTTAGTAGCCTTAGAATGAGGGGAAGTAGAATTGTTTAAACGTTGATTCAATGTTGTTTTATCAGAGTCTGATGTTAATATTTTGTGTTTCAGATTGTTTTTGCCAATGTTTTGATCTGAGGTTTAAAGAACCACTTTTACAATATTGGAGATATGTAGTGGAATAAATGCCTGGAAAGACAATTATTGTCTGACAATATAAACTATAAATTGAAACCGGAATGCAATGATAAGAAAGGGAAATATGGAATAAATGCCTGGAAATACAATATAAACTATAATTTTAAACTGGAATGCAATGATAAGAAAGGGAAATAAACTATTGCTAAGTCTAAAGAACCACTGAAGCTGAAGAATTGAGATACAACAATCTTTGACTGACTTTAGGTGTAAGACGTTCGCCCAGCTATTGTAGACCGCATGGAATCGATTCAAGTCCTTTAAAAATTTGTGAATCAAGATGAGAATGAACTTAGTGAATCTGTAATTGCTGCTATATGTTTTGGCTAAAATATAAAAAAACTGTTGTATGTCTCCAAAACAAAGGAGCTTATATTTATGATACCAAAAAGAACAGGATTGTTTGACATCAGAAATACAAAGAATTCGGCACACAGAGACAATTCACCTTTTAAAACGAAACCAAAAAACTAGAAGCAAAAAACAAATTGTGCTTCAAAACAAAACTAGAATGCACTGCTTTTAAAAGGTTGAAATATAGGAAAGGACAACTTTTTTCTAGGCGTTTAGTGATTCGTTTATAGTAACATCGCTCACGATGATGTTCGGAGTTGATCGGCATGTTGTCGTACATTATCATACCACGTGATCTGCTAAGATCACATGGTAATTATTGCCTATGAAACTAATCTCAACGTTAAAAAAAAATTTCTTTAGATTGGTGGCGATCGAAGGTGGACAGCAAGATCGAAGCTCAGCAAGATTGAAGATTGTTCGAAGAAGAAGAGTTCGCCGTTGACTAAAAGGTGGGTTCCGGCGATTATATGCGTAATCTGCGGTTGCTTTGTCCGACCCCAGTAGGGGGACCGTTTGCCTAGAGCGTTTTGGTCCCCCGCACGCTGCTAGTTCCCACTTGTAGGCCTTTACACTAATCTACGGGAAGGCCGTAGGCCTTCCTTAAGGAGTACAGTGTAGCTGAGCCGAACCCTTTTTTTTCGTTGTATATAGGTTTATCTGAACAGCTAGTTGTCAAGATGAATGCGAAGACTCGCCCGGCCAAATTCAAAATGGCGATGCCAAAGAAAACCATCCACCTGGACCGTTCGCAGACCTTTCTGGGCAAGATTGTTGTGCTGTCTGGTCAAAGTTAAGTATTTTACTTTGATGTTTGTGTGCCTTCGGCTAATTGTTGGCCAGAAATGACAAAAAGCCATATACAATATGAAATATTCTGCGTACAAGGTTATCTAAAATTTCGAACTTAATTCTGCCTGCAATGATGATAATTTTTTACTGAAAATTTATGTCATGAGCAACTTCCGCACCTATAGACTGAAGCAGAACTGAACATTTTGTCATTAACGTTTATCTCAACAGCCAGTTATCAAGACGAACGTCAAGAGAACAGTTGAAATAGAAAATAGAAATCAGTTCAAGACTCGCCGCCGCCGAATTCAAAATGGCGATCCCATACACGTGGACCGTTCGCGGACCTTTCTGAGCAAGATTGTTGTGCTGTCTGGTCAAAGTTAAGTATTTTACTTTGATGTTTGTGTGCCTTCTGCTAATTGTCGGTCAGAAATAACAAAAAACCATATACAATATGAAATATTCTGCGTACAAGGTTATCTAAAGTTTCGAGATTAATTTTGCCTGCAATGATGATAATTTTTTACTGAAAATTTATGTCTTGAGCAATTTTCGTACCCATAGACTGAAGCAGAACTGAAGATTTTGTCATTAACGTTTATCTCAACAGCTAGTTATCAAGACGAACGTCAAGAGAACAGTTGAAATAGAAATCAGTTCAAGACTCGCCCGGCCGAATTCAAAATGGCGATGCCGAAGAAAACTATACACGTGGACCGTTCGCGGACCTTTCTGAGCAAGATTGTTGTGCTGTCTGGTCAAAGTTAAGTATTTTACTTTACTGTTTGTGTGCCTTCTGCTAAAACTAGACAATAATTAAGGTAGTTATAAATGCAATTTTATATTAATAATGTCTTATTATATTAAAGATTTTCCTTGGTCAACATTGGAAGTGAACAAGATTTCTGCACAGAGGTAATTCGATTGTTTCTTCTAAATTTATATTAGCCTTGCAGCTGAAAATCTTGTCACTGCCTTGTAATACATATCAACTGCCTGGGTATGTATTTTGTTATTTCAATAGTATAAGAGGGAATTTGCTGCAACTAGGATCTTTTGCATAAAAATTGTCAGTGCGGTCACAATTTGGTTAAGATTGCTAAGTGAACTTTGCTTCTATACTCACTATGTGTCACCAGTAATAAATTCCTGTGGTGGTCTTGAAGTAAATATAGCAACCATAGTTATATATAGAAGGATGAAGTAACCATAGATTACCTGACCAAAAACTAGACAGTAATTAAGATAGTTGAAAATGGAATTTTATATTAATAATGTCTTTTTATATTCAAGATTTTTCTTGGACAAGAGTGCAACATTAACTGTGGATATGAACTTTACTTTCAAATGAACATTGGAAGTGAACAAGATTTCTGCACAGAGGTAATTCGATTGTTCCTTCAAAATTTATATTAGCCTTGCAGCTGAAATTCTTGTAGTGACTTTGTAATACATATCAACTGCCCGGATATATATTTTTTTATTTATTATAAGGGGGAATTTGCTGCAACTAGGATCTTTTTCATGAAAATCGTCAGGCAGTCACAATTTTGTTAAGATTATAAAGTGAACTTTGCTTCTATACTCACTATGTGTCACCAGTAATAAATTCCTGTGCTGGTCTTTGAATAAATATAGCAACCATAGTTATATATAGAGGGATGAAGTAACCATAGAATACCTGACGAAAAACTAGACAATAATTAAGATAGTTGAAAATGGAATTTTGTCTTAATAATAACTTCTTTATATATTCAAGATTTTCCTTGATCAAGAGTGCAACCAGCCACATTAGCTGCTGTGGATATGGACTTTACTGTCAGAGGAAAATTGGAAGTGAACAAGATTTTTGCAGAGGTAATTTGATTGTTCCTTCAAAATTTATATTAGCCTTGCAGCTGAAATTCTTGTAGTGACTTTGTAATACATATCAACTGCCCGGATATATATTTTGTTATTTATTATAAGGGGGAATTTGCTGCAACTAGGATCTTTTTCATGAAAATCGTCAGGCAGTCACAATTTTGTTAAGATTATAAAGTGAACTTTGCTTCTATACTCACTATGTGTCACCAGTAATAAATTCCTGTGCTGGTCTTTGAATAAATATAGCAACATAGTTATATATAGAGGGATGAAGTAACCATAGAATACCTGACGAAAAACTAGACAATAATTAAGATAGTTGAAAATGGAATTTTGTCTTAATAATAACTTCTTTATATATTCAAGATTTTCCTTGATCAAGAGTGCAACCAGCCACATTAGCTGCTGTGGATATGGACTTTACAGTCAGAGAAAATTGGAAGTGAACAAGATTTTTGCAGAGGTAATTTGATTGTTCCTTCAAAATTTATATTAGCCTTGCAGCTGAAATTCTTGTAGTGACTTTGTAATACATATCAACTGCCCGGATATATATTTTGTTATTTATTATAAGGGGAATTTGCTGCAACTAGGATCTTTTTCATGAAAATCGTCAGGCAGTCACAATTTTGTTAAGATTATAAAGTGAACTTTGCTTCTATACTCACTCTGTGTCACCAGTAATAAATTCCTGTGCTGGTCTTTGAATAAATATAGCAACCATAGTTATATATAGAGGGATGAAGTAACCATAGAATACCTGACGAAAAACTAGACAATAATTAAGATAGTTGAAAATGGAATTTTGTCTTAATAATAACTTCTTTATATATTCAAGATTTTCCTTGATCAAGAGTGCAACCAGCCACATTACCTGCTGTGGATATGGACTTTACAGTCAGAGGAAAATTGGAAGTGAACAAGATTTTTGCAGAGGTAATTTGATTGTTCCTTCAAAATTTATATTAGCCTTGCAGCTGAAATTCTTGTAGTGACTTTGTAATACATATCAACTGCCCGGATATATATTTTGTTATTTATTATAAGGGGGAATTTGCTGCAACTAGGATCTTTTCATTAAAATCGTCAGGCAGTCACAATTTTGTTAAGATTATAAAGTGAACTTTGCTTCTATACTCACTATGTGTCACCAGTAATAAATTCCTGTGCTGGTCTTTGAATAAATATAGCAACCATAGTTATATATAGAGGGATGAAGTAACCATAGAATACCTGACGAAAAACTAGACAATAATTAAGATAGTTGAAAATGGAATTTTGTCTTAATAATAACTTCTTTATATATTCAAGATTTTCCTTGATCAAGAGTGCAACCAGCCACATTAGCTGCTGTGGATATGGACTTTACAGTCAGAGAAAAATTGGAAGTGAACAAGATTTTTGCAGAGGTAATTTGATTGTTCCTTCAAAATTTATATTAGCCTTGCAGCTGAAATTCTTGTAGTGACTTTGTAATACATATCAACTGCCCGGATATATATTTTGTTATTTATTATAAGGGGAATTTGCTGCAACTAGGATCTTTTTCATTAAAATCGTCAGGCAGTCACAATTTTGTTAAGATTATAAAGTGAACTTTGCTTCTATACTCACTATGTGTCACCAGTAATAAATTCCTGTGCTGGTCTTTGAATAAATATAGCAACCATAGTTATATATAGAGGGATGAAGTAACCATAGAATACCTGACGAAAAACTAGACAATAATTAAGATAGTTGAAAATGGAATTTTGTCTTAATAATAACTTCTTTATATATTCAAGATTTTCCTTGGTCAAGAGTGCAACCAGCCACATTAGCTGCTGTGGATATGGACTTTACTGTCAGAGGAAAATTGGAAGTGAACAAGATTTTTGCAGAGGTAATTTGATTGTTCCTTCAAAATTTATATTAGCCTTGCAGCTGAAATTCTTGTAGTGACTTTGTAATACATATCAACTGCCCGGATATGTATTTTGTTATTTATTATAAGGGGGAATTTGCTGCAACTAGGATCTTTTTCATGAAAATCGTCAGGCAGTCACAATTTTGTTAAGATTATAAAGTGAACTTTGCTTCTATACTCACTATGTGTCACCAGTAATAAATTCCTGTGCTGGTCTTTGAATAAATATAGCAACCATAGTTATATATAGAGGGATGAAGTAACCATAGAATACCTGACGAAAAACTAGACAATAATTAAGATAGTTGAAAATGGAATTTTGTCTTAATAATAACTTCTTTATATATTCAAGATTTTCCTTGATCAAGAGTGCAACAAGCCACATTAGCTGCTGTGGATATGGACTTTACAGTCAGAGGAAAATTGGAAGTGAACAAGATTTTTGCAGAGGTAATTTGATTGTTCCTTCAAAATTTATATTAGCCTTGCAGCTGAAATTCTTGTAGTGACTTTGTAATACATATCAACTGCCCGGATATATATTTTGTTATTTATTATAAGGGGGAATTTGCTGCAACTAGGATCTTCATGAAAATCGTCAGGCAGTCACAATTTTGTTAAGATTGCTAAGTGAACTTTGCTTCTATGCTCCCTATGTGGTCACCAATGATAAATTCCTGTGGTGGGCTTTGAATAAATATAGCATATTTATATAGAGGGATGAAGTAACCATAGAATGCCTGACCAAAAACTAGACAATAATTAAGATAGTTGAAAATGGAATTTTGTCTTAATAATAACTTCTTTATATATTCAAGATTTTCCTTGATCAAGAGTGCAACCAGCCACTTTAGCTGCTGTGGATATGGACTTTACTGTCACAAGAAAATTGGAAGTGAACAAGATTTCTGCACAGAGGTAATTTGATTGTTCCTTCAAAATTTATATTAGCCTTGCAGCTGGAATTCTTGTAGTGACTTTGTAATACATATCAACTGCCCGGATATATATTTTGTTATTTATTATAAGGGGGAATTTGCTGCAACCAGGATCTTTTTCATGAAAATCGTCAGGCAGTCACAATTTTGTTAAGATTATAAAGTGAACTTTGCTTCTATACTCACTATGTGTCACCAGTAATAAATTCCTGTGCTGGTCTTTGAATAAATATAGCAACCATAGTTATATATAGAGGGATGAAGTAACCATAGAATGCCTGACCAAAAACTAGACAATAATTAAGATAGTTGAAAATGGAATTTTGTCTTAATAATAACTTCTTTATATATTCAAGATTTTCCTTGGTCAAGAGTGCAACCAGCCACATTAGCTGCTGTGGATATGGACTTTACTGTCAGAGGAAAATTGGAAGTGAACAAGATTTTTGCAGAAGTAATTTGATTGTTCCTTCAAAATTTATATTTGCCTTGCAGCTGAAATTCTTGTAGTGACTTTGTAATACATATCAACTGCCCGGATATGTATTTTGTTATTTATTATAAGGGGGAATTTGCTGCAACTAGGATCTTTTTCATGAAAATCGTCAGGCAGTCACAATTTTGTTAAGATTATAAAGTGAACTTTGCTTCTATACTCACTCTGTGTCACCAGTAATAAATTCCTGTGCTGGTCTTTGAATAAATATAGCAACCATAGTTATATATAGAGGGATGAAGTAACCATAGAATACCTGACGAAAAACTAGACAATAATTAAGATAGTTGAAAATTGAATTTTGTCTTAATAATAACTTCTTTATATATTGAAGATTTTCCTTGATCAAGAGTGCAACCAGCCACATTAGCTGCTGTGGATATGGACTTTACAGTCAGAGGAAAATTGGAAGTGAACAAGATTTTTGCAGAGGTAATTTGATTGTTCCTTCAAAATTTATATTAGCCTTGCAGCTGAAATTCTTGTAGTGACTTTGTAATACATATCAACTGCCCGGATATATATTTCGTTATTTATTATAAGGGGGAATTTGCTGCAACTAGGATCTTCATGAAAATCGTCAGGCTGTCACAATTTTGTTAAGATTGCTAAGTGAACTTTGCTTCTATGCTCCCTATGTGGTCACCAATGATAAATTCCTGTGGTGGGCTTTGAATAAATATAGCATATTTATATAGAGGGATGAAGTAACCATAGAATGCCTGACCAAAAACTAGACAATAATTAAGATAGTTGAAAATGCAATTTTATATTAATCATGTGTTCTTGTAATATTCAAGATTTTCCCTGGTCAAGAGTGCAACATGAGTCGTGGATATGAACTTTACTGTCAGATGTACATTGATTGGAAAGTGAACAAGATATCTGCACTGAGGTAATTTGATTTTGTCATGGATGGCCAGCATTTGATTTTAAAAAGCCACTACATTGTTGAGATGACAACAATCAAATTGAAATTTGCTTCTATGGTCACCATGTGTGAAACCAATGATGAAACTTAATGCTATAACAGCTGAACAAGTCTGGCTGATTACTATAATTCCTGTGGTGGTCTTACAATAAATATCCATGAAAAAGACCAGCAATTACTATTTTAAACTTGGGAGAAATTTTTCTGATTTCCATGTGATTTATATTCTGTAGTACTCAGAAGGGTGGTACCCAGTTTTTCTGTGTCAAATTAAATAGTGACATATTTCTGGGTTGAATATATGCATGTGACACATTCTTTTTATTGAAAATAGCTAAAATATAATTGGCATAAAACAAAATGCATTCACGAATGTATTGTCTATCCATGAAAGATGGCTAAAGTAAAATAATGAGTAATATCTTTTGATAATGATGTCAGGTTTGAAAATACAACTTTTTGCCTAAAAGGATTGATGAAATGCTTTTTCTTTTTAGAATGAATGAAGTTGAAGAAAGTTGAAAGGCACCCCAGAAGAACCTGAATTATTTTAGCCCTATCCTAGATTCATTGAATATTTTAGTGTGTGATAACATGTGTGAAATGTGATCAATTATGTGACAATTTTCAAAACTTGGATTTATAAAGATAAATTTTTCTTTGTAAAGTTTAAGAAGTAAACCTTTTTTGTCTGGTGGTGTTGGTGTTTTGATTTTGCATGTTTTTCCCTGTGCTTTCACAATTGAAAATATTTTAGCAGTTGCTTTTGGCTTTTTCTCATACTTCTTTTCTCTTTAATTTCTTCTTAGTATTAGTATTTTTCTAAATATATTTTCTCTTATTATTTTTTTGATGAAATTCTTTTTTTCTTTGGTGTTGAAGAAAGTTGAAAGGCACCCAGTTTCATTGATTAATATTTTTTTAGTGTGAATTGTGATGAATTATGTGACAATTTTCAAAACTTGGATTTATAAATCTTTTTTCTTTGTAAAGTTTAAGAAATAAACCTTTTTCGTCTGATGGTGTTAGTGTTTTTATTTTGCAAGTTCTTCTGTGTGACTTGACAATTCTAAATTAAACCTGTTAGTATTTTTTAGTATTTTTCTAAGTTAAACCTATTAGTATTTTCTTCGATTGCTCTAGTTTTTTTTGCTCTAGTTT